ATTGGGTGAGGACTATGGTAACCTCGGGTGAAGTGAAGTTGCACTACGTGAAGACGACGGCGCAGCCTGCTGATATGATGACCAAGAGGCTGGTTGACCAGCAGCATTGGAAGTGTTGCAATCTTGCTGGGATGGCTCTGAATTAAGGGGAGCAGACTCTGAGGCCAACAATCCGAGGGGGAGTTTGTTGGTGCAACCCTATGGCTTGTCGTCCTTGTTCGTGTGTGTGCATGCATGGCATGGAATGAATTGTGAATCTATGTCATTGCTATCTAGTGCTTGTGTTTGTGCCTGAATGATGTATCACAATATGGTTTGTGTCGGTCAAGACATGAGTGACTTTTAAAAACTCACAAGTGAAATCGTCGTTTGTGCGTGCATGCGTTTTTCTATTTTGTCGAGTGTGAAGTGTCCATTGCGTCGCAGGTGAGTGCAGCAAGCCCCCATCAACTCAACAAGAATTTATCTTGTAGAATCAAGACCAAGAGCTCAAGATTTCAAGCCCAAGGGATGCGGATAAATATTAAAATAGTGAAAATAGTAATGCTACTTCGTGTAGTGTTATATTTCACTTGGTGTAGCCCCTTGTAGGGTTTGTTTCGAGACTCTTCGTGGTTGGGGACTCTGTGGTGGTGTACCACTGACCTGGACCTCGGCTCTTGGGGTTTGTAGAGGCTGGGAACCATCTCAATGTCGACACTTCTTTCTAAGTTTGTACTTCTAAGACTGTAGTGGCTGCTATACGTCCTGCCAGTCAAACCGTCATCGCGTCGTCAAATCTTCATGGAATTTCATGATATAAATTTCTGCTGATAGGCGACAGCATTTCGCTCCAGATCCAACTTACAGATCACCGTTTGAGTTACGGATCAGATCGTTATCAATATTTGAAGCCGTCTGACGGAAATCCGACTGTGCACTCTATCTCTCATTTTAGGCACATATTAGCCTATTGTGCTTATATCAGGTAAAAGTGCCACTCAGACGATTTGAGGGGGAAACCAAAAAAGACAAAGGGGGCAGTGTGGGCAGTGAGCTTGTCCATGCCAAAGGCACAAACGTGAGCAAGGCAGCCCCAGACGTGGAACACGGACGCGTCACCAGGTAACCAGGTCCAGAGAAGGGTCGGCGAAACCTGCGGTCGCTGGGAGAGCGGCCACAAGTTAAGCTGGTGAGCCGGAGCAAACAACAAATGGCCACAAAAAATGGGGTGCATCGGCATGGATCATGGAGGTATGAGCCACCTCCATGACCAAACCGATGTGTCCCTCAGCAACCCCATTCTGCTATGGGGTGTCCGGTAGGGTGTACGACTGGGTGATGCCCTCCGCACGACACAACTGTCCAAGCCGACCGGAGACGAACTCGCCGCCACGGTCGGAATGGAGACACAGCACGGGGAGACCACGGTGGACGCGCGCAGCTACGACCCACGGGATAAGAATGTCAGGCACGTCGGCCTTCCACTCCAGGGGAAACACCGTAGTGTAGCACGCGTAGTCGTCGACAAGCACTAGAAAGTAGCGCTCTCGACGCGACTCAGGGACGGGGGTTGAGCCCCGACGTCCAGGTGCAGGGTCTAGAGTGGCACGGTGGCAGGGCAGAGTGAGTAGGAGTGAGGAGCACGGCACAACCGCCCCTCAACGCAAGGTGTGCACAGCGGCGCAGGCAAGGGAGGGAGGGCAGCGAGCGACGCAGGTAGATCTAGGACAAGACCGCGCTGGGATATGTGACGCAGACGCGGGAGTGCGGGGTGACCTAGGCAGTGGTGCCACAGAAGCGACGTGTGAGTGAGCGACCGACATGAGCAAGTCGCAGCGATCTGGGTAGACGCAGGCACCTGGGGGGACGGCCTCACTAGGGGGGACTCAGTGTCGAGCGTAAACTGGCCAGACACCGAATCCTGGGGGAATGTGGAGAGGGGGGCACCTGTGGCGGCCTTAGTACAGACCGCGTACCGCTCGTGATGAGGGAACGTAGTGGTGACGTCGAGAACTTGAAGAGAGCATACACAACTAGGTTTCTAGAGAACGAGGGGATGTGCAAGCCTCTAAGGGAGCCCGAGGGAACTGCCGGACAGGGAAGGATAGTGGAGCTACGGGCAACTACCGGACCTGAGGAGGGGTCAGCAAGCGCGGCAGCAGCAGGGGCGGTAAGCGGCATGAGCGCAGTGTGGTCACGGATGAAGCAGATAGACCACCAGAGTCAAGCGTGAACGAGAGGAAAGCGGTAGCGGCAGGCGGCGGAGGGGATAGCATGGAGCCTAGGCTAAACAAGACAGAAGGTCCTACGCCTGACGCAATAGGGGAGCCTAGACTACATACAGGAGGCACACCTATACTAGGCAACACAGGGTAATAAAGTCCGGTCACACTAGAGGCATCAGCATACATGGCATGCAAGGCAAAGCAAAGCTGATCCAGCTGGTGTTGCTGCTGCTGCGACTGCTGCTGCTGTTGCTGCTGCTGCTGCTGCTACTCCGGGGCACCAGGCCTTGTCCCCTTGTTGGAACCACCATCACCCCCCCCACCCCCACCACCCCCACCACCCTTCCCTTCGCCATGCCCCCCCCTTGGGGCAGTGGCCCCTACCCTGACGCGGCTGCGCTGAGGCCGCAGCAGCACTCTCAGCAGCAGAGGCTGTCTTAGCGATAGCAGCAGAGATGTCAGAGTAAGTGCACTGAGAGGGAGCACAGCCCTGAAAGAGAGGGACCGCCGCCATACCGTTAGACTGAGCGATAGTGCGCTGACAGGTCTCTATCTGAGACAGGGTTGTGACAAAGGCGGTAAGGGTGAGGTCACCTGAGTGCTGACTAAGGAAGTGGTCGCGGGCAGTGGCTAGGTGGTCTGGAAGGCACGTGGCAATGAGGTAGAGGATAGCGCAATGCGGCAGCGGAAAGGCAGTGAGTTGAGCCTCAGTGCTAACGGCTCGATAGCTAGTCTCAAGTGCGCAAAGGTGAGTGGCAAGATCGGCGACAGTGGGGAAGGACGCAAGATCAGGGAATAGCATGGGGAGGATCAGGCGACCAACAGAGGCTGAGGCGGGGGTGAAATAGCGAGTGATGATTGCATCTAAGAATTCCTGGGCATTCGCTACCATCTTAAAGTGAGGAGGCTCAGACAGGGGAAGCGCGTGACTGGTAGCATGCTGTGCAACGGTGTCGCGCAAGTCCCAGGTAGCACGAGCAAGCGCAGCAGCGGAAAAGGCCTCACGCTCAGCAGTGGTGGGAGCAGCAGGGAGGGCAACACGCACAGCGGGGCGGGGAAGCAGGCCATTGACATCAACAGCCAGGGAGTGATCGTCTTGACGCTGACCTGTAAGGTGACGGCGAAGGTCGATGAGCCACGCCTCGAAGTCGATCGCCCAACCCTTCGCGTCCAGGCGGAGCAGTGAGTCCGCCATCACCACAGCTGCAGCAGCTGACTGCCGCTGGCAGGGATAGCACGAAAGACGGAGGACAGGGCGGCGGAGAGCGGTGGGGTGAGGTGGAGTGCGTTGGAGAGCGGTGGAGTGTGGTGGAGGGAGGTGCAGTGAGGTGAAGACCAGCGGAGACAGCCGAAAGGAGTGCCGGCGTAGAGAGGAGCCAAGGCCGGTAGGTCGGGGGCGGCAGAGCGGCACGGCGGCACTAGGGCGCGGCGGTTGCACGGCGCGGGGCCAGTGCGGGCTGTGGCCAGCGGAGCAGGTGCCGGTGGGGCCGGGGGCCAGCAAGCTAGTGGCCGGCTAGCTGGGGGCCGGCGAGCTGGGGCCTGGCGAGTGCAGGGCCAGCGAGCGCGGGTCGGCAAATGCGGGGCCAGCGGGCGCGGGGCTAGCCAGCAGACGGAAACCAGCAGACAGGCAAGCAAGCCAGCGTGCTAGCTGACATTAGCCAGCTAGCTCGCTAGCCACATTAGTGATGGAAAACGTGCAAATCTGGAGAGAAATAATTAGAGATTAAGTCTGACGACCTCAACGGAACATTGCGTGCAGCTCAGGTAACGTCTAGAAATGAGCTTACACGCGTTGGAAAGGTCTTAATCTCTTATTTCCAGAATGGTAAAGCACGTTCATAACCAAGATCTGAGCTGCCGATTATGACGAAATCAGTGTGAGAGGATATTCTGGTAATTTGGCTAGGCAGCCATGAATGACCTAGTCAAAACGAGAGGGGCAGCAGTTAGATCTGGAAAAGTTCGAGAATGAGATTGTCAAACACCACCAACCCTCGCCCTGGACCAAACCCTAAGACTCCCAAGTGCCACGACTGCAACATCAAAGATGTTGTAGTGGGTTTGGGGTTGTATGGGTTGGAAAGGTAACGAGATCAAACCTAGCCAACCAACCCAAATCTTTTGCCCAAATCCCAATAGCCCACAACCAGCTAGAGCAAACTACACCACTGAACACTACACATTTATCACTCCCCCTTGCGCGTGCTGGGTGTGGCTCAACACCATAGGGCAAAAGACTTCACACCACTCCCCCTTGCCCATGGGTTGGGGCCACCCAGAGCATGGAGTCCGCCAAGGAGAGGAGCACCAAGACGCCGGCATCTGCTTCGGGAACTCTGTAGTCATGGGGCTGCATCCCGAGCAAGGTCATGCACACACCATGACGCTCAAATGGAAGAGACTTGGTAAGAATAGCAGCCTGACGGGTGGTGGGGCACCACTGCAAAATCACCTCACCCGCAGCTACCATCTCTCGAATGAAATGCCACCGGACCTGCATGTGTTTGGTGCGGCCATGCAAGCATGCATTCTGTGCAAGGGCAATGGCAGACTGATTATCCACAAACACAGGCACACCACCAGCATGATCATGGCCAAACTCCCCAAACAAACGCCTCAGCCAGACACCCTCCTGAATGCACTGACACAGACTTATATACTCACTCTTTGTGGTAGAGAGTGCTACCACGGGCTGCCTCTTGCTTTGCCAAGAGATAGCTGCCCCATTCAGACAGAACATATACCCACTGTGGCTCCTGCGACTTGCGGAATCTCCAGCATAGTCAGCATCACTGAAGCCAACTAGCTGGACCTGAGACTGGGGCTGTGTTTGGAAGAAGATACCTGACTTGACACCACCTTTCAGGTACCTCAGCACTCTCTTAGCGGCCTGCAAGTGGAACATTTTAGGACAAGAGGCGACCTTAGATAGCTGTGAGACTGCAAAGGCAATCTGTGGCTGTGTGGTAGTACAAGCATACATGAGGGTTCCCACAATGCTTTGGTAGAGCTTGACCAGCTCATCTCGCAGCAAGGTTTCATCCTCATAGGCATGCACATCAAAGCCTGTTGGGAGAGGAGTACGCACGGGGTTGGCCTCTGAGAGACCAAAGGACTGAAGCATGTTAAGAATGTACCTCTCTTGATGAATCAAGATACCACTCTCATCACGCTCAATTTGCATTCCCAAGTAGTAATTCACCTCCGCCAAGTCCTTCATGCGAAAATGCGAGAACAAGAAGTCTTTCCACTCGATCTAGCAAAGCCTTGCTAGAGCATAGGAGCAAAAGGTCATCCACATAGAGGAATAAGGAGATCCGCTCCTCATCTCTCACAAAGTGGTACAAGGCAGGGTCACACTCAGATCTCTCAAACCCAAAACCCATGAGAGCCTCATCAAATTTCAGGTACCACTGTCGTGGGGCTTGCTTTAGCCCATAAATGGACTTTTTGAGGCGACACACTCGGTTAGACCCATCATCAAAACCAGGGGGCTGCCGCATGTAAAGCTCTTCCTCCAAATCCCCATGGAGGAAGGCTGTCTTGACGTCCATATGATGGATATCAAGCCCCAAAGCAGCTGAAATTCCAAGCATACCTCTCAAGGTCGCATGCTTCCCAACTCGAGAGTACACTTCTTCATAGTGTACTCCCAATTCCTGCGTGTTTCCCATCACCACCAATCTGGAATTAGGCCTCTCAATGGTACCATCAGGGTTATGCTTGTATTTCCAAACCCATTGATACTTGAGGACCTCCAAACCAGGTGGTACCACGGCTGCATCAACCAGCTCAAATGATCCATTTACCTTGTGAGACTCAAGCTCCTCATGCATAGACTCAACCCATTCGGGACGGTTCAGCGCCTCATGGACTGACCTAGGCTCATGCACCTGACCCATTAGACACACATCAAGAGCATACTCATGCCCATGCATGTCCACAAGCATGCAATCATCCAAATCAGACACAAGATGATCATGCATGCGTGCAATGTGCCCCGGTGAAAACCTTTCAGGTGGCTGGGAAATTCGAGCACTGCGTCGCAGAGGTGTTGCCTCTCCTTCTTCCAGCCTCCGCAGCTTCTCCTCCCAAGTCACCCTCTTCATTGGAGTCCTTGGAGTCTTGGACAGCTGCTGGTTCAACAACTGCTGCCAACTGCTTCTCGATGGAGTTGAAGGCACATGCTGCTCCGGCTGATCATCACGCGCATCGGCCTGCGTGGCTGGCTGAGGGGTAGAATCTGTCTCTCGGGACTCCTCATGGTTAGGATCAGCTGGTTCTGGCTCCTCCTGCTGCTCCTCCCCTTCATCTCCAGGGTCCTCCCATGCCCCCTCAAAGATAGAAGCCGTATGAGGGTCTTGAATGGAAGTCCCACTTTGGCTTGTACCATGCTGCTTCCACCCCTTAAAATTCAGCCCCTCATGGAAAACCACATCACGGCTCTCCATCACACGCTGGTCAGCTACACTCCACAGCACCCAAGCCTTGCTCCTCTCAGAAACCCCAAGGAAGATCCCCCACTGTGCCTTAGGATCTAGCTTCCTCCTTTGCTGGTCAGGTACCTTATACTGTGCCATGCACCTTCACACTCGTGCCATGGAAACATTCGGCACCTTCCCTGTCCATAAGGAGTATGGGCTCTTGCCTCCAAGCCCCTTGCTGCCCATCCTGTTCTTCACCCAGTTGGCGTACTGCACTGCTGCCCCCCACCAAGTGTTATCAAGCTCGGCATGGGCAAGGATGGGCCCGAGCCAAATCGGTCAAGGTCCTGTTAAGCCGCTCCGCTGCCCCATTTTGCTGCGGCGTGTAAGGTACAGAGAGCTGGTGGGTAATACCCTTTTCTTCCATGAAGGTTTGAAGTTCTTTCCCAAGGTACTCTCCACCCCGATCTGACCTTAACACCTTCACCTTGGCCCTGACTCCCTCTCCACATAGCGTATCCACCGCTTAAACACCTTTGCCACCTCATCCTTGGTCTTCACCAAGATGACCCAGCTAAGTCGACTGAAGTCATCAAGAAAGGTGACAAAGTATCTGCTGCCCTTTTCCCGGTCAAGAGTTTGCATCGGTCCACACACATCCGTGTGCACCAGCTCAAGGGGAGTCGAGGCATGATTAGAGGAGATAGGGAATGAGGTTCTAGGCAGCTTTCCAGACGTGCATTCAGGACATTTGCTCTGCTGCCCAGCTCCTTCCTTGACCTCCACCCCCTTCAGCTCCCCCTTCTTCACACACTCCAGCAGTTGCTGCTTCCCCGCGTGCCCCATGCGAAGGTGTAGCAACTCAAGTGACACCGTTTCCACCTGCCTCCAGCGAGTGCTACAAGCGGCTTCCTCAGAAAAAACCATATGTGCCTTGTAACAATTAGGCACACAAGCTGGAACAAGGTATAAACCCTTGTCCAACTTTGCCTCCATCACCACAGCTTCACCCTTTCTAACAGTACACCCTCCCTCAGTGAAAGTGCAGATGTATCCCTGTTTAGCCAGCTGCGAGCATGAAAGGAGGTTTGCAGCCAAACCAGGGACGTGAAGGACCCCCTTCACACCCACTAGCTCCCCCTCCTTCCCCTTAATGGTGATCGTGCCGATGCCAATTGCTTGCAGCAAATCTCCGCTCCCAACAATCACGTTCCTCGAATTAGATGGGAGAGGGTGGTAGGAGGTGAAGAGATCACGGCGAGGAAGCATCCCAGATGTTGCTCCAGAGTCTAGAACCAGGAAGTTGGGATCAGCCAATGCACGACCAGCGAGAGCTGCATCCTGCCCTAGCATGAGAAACGAGAAACCATCATCGGAGGAGTCGTCTTGGCCCTTCCCCTTCTCATCCTTAGCAGCTGCAGCCGTTTCTCCCTTGCTTCCCTTCTTATTCCAGAGCCCCTTCTTCATCCTTTTCTCCACCCTATCAGGTTTGGTCACTGGTGGGGCCTCTCAAGAGTAGCCGTGAGGCTTCCATCCCTCAGGCCTACTCCAGCAACTCTTCCAAGAGTGTTTTTTGTTGCATCCGGGCACAAGGCATTTGTCCAACTCCTTCTTCTTCCCCCCACCTCCTTGCTGTTGATAGCCTTTCCTGAAGGAAGCTTTATCTGTTGCACCCATGCCTCCTTCTAAGCCTCTTCCAGCATCAACCTTGCGAGCCTCATCAAAAATTAAAACCTCCCAAATCCACACCTTGGTCCATTTCTGTTGCTAGAGGTGAAGGTACTGTAGTAATGCCTCATTAGCCGCTTGATCCAACCCTTGGAGCGCAGTATAGATGATCTCCTTCTCATCTACCAGGTAATCCAGCTCCTCCAAAGCCCTCACATTCTCATCCACCCTCTGGAGATACTGAACCATGGTCTCCCCCTCCCCATAGTTCCGCTCCATGGTGTAAAACCGCTTCCGCCAAGTAAGCACGCTTAGAAGCCCTTTCTGCAAGTGCCTATCTTGAACTCTTTTCCAAGCTGCAGCCGCTGCACCTTCCTTCCCCTTCAGGTCAATCAGCATCTTAAGAAGCTCAAGTTGCCCCTCCAAAGCCCAACACAGGTACTGAAATGCCTGGCGATCCTTCCGATCCCATGCTTCTTGAGCTTTGAGCACCTCCTCGCTACTTGGTTGCGACCTTCCGGTTCGAGTTGCAGCGGTTCCTCCTTCATTCCCTCCACTCAACGATGCTCCCCCAACCCCGGATCCCACTTGGCTGGTTGTTCCAGTAGACGCCTCCCCAGAGTCAGCTCATGGTCGCTTCTCCGATCCATCCAACACACTTTCTAGGTCCTTAATACCTAGCCATAGTGTGAACTGGAACCTCCATAGCGAAAAGTCCGAGCCGGTAAACCTAGGAGAGCCATCCAACTTTTGGGCCATGTCAAACCCTAGATCTAGAGCACTTCAAGCCTCTCAAGATCTCTTCCAATGGAGGAAAGAACGTCCTCTAACCGTGGCTCTAATACCACTGATGGAAAACGTGCAAATCTGGAGAGAAATAATTAGAGATTAAGTCTGACGACCTCAACGGAACATTGCGTGCAGCTCAGATAACTTCTAGAAATGAGCTTATACTCATTGGAAAGGTCTTAATCTCTAATTTCCAGAATGGTAAAGCACGTTCATAACCAAGATCTGAGCCACCGATTATGACGAAATCAGTGTGAGAGGATATTCTGGTAATTTGGCTAGGCAGCTATGAATGACCTAGTCAAAACGAGAGGGGCAGCAGTTAGATCTGGAAAAGTTCGAGAATGAGATTGTCAAACACCACCAACCCTCGCCCTGGACCAAACCCTAAGACTCCCAAGTGCCACGACTGCAACATCAAAGATGTTGTAGTGGGTTTGGGGTTGTATGGGTTGGAAAGGTAACGAGATCAAACCTAGCCAACCAACCCAAATCTTTTGCCCAAATCCCAATAGCCCACAACCAGCTAGAGCAAACTACACCACTGAACACTACACATTTATCAGTTAGCCAGCTCGCCGCCTGCAGTGCTAGCCAGCTCGCCGCCAGTCGCGCCAGCCAGCTAGCTGCCAGCAGCGCCCGCCAGCTCGCCGCTAGCATCTGCTGCCAGCCACTGTTGCCAGCTAGACACCAGCCAGGCGTCGCCACTGCAGCCACTGCCGCTGCCGCCATTGCCGCTGCAGCAGCCTGCACTGCCGCTGCTGCCACTGCTGCAGGTGCTGCTGCCACTGTCGCCGCTGCCCTTGCAGCTGCCACTGCCTCTACTGCCCTTGCAGCTGCCACTGCAGCTGCTGCCCGTGCAGTGCCAATTCCGCCACTGCCCTTACAGCTGCCGCTGCCGCCGCTGCCCTTGCAGCAGCTACTTCCGCTGCTGCCCTTGCAGCTGCTGCTGCCGCTACTGCCCTTGCAGCTACCGCTGCAGCTGCTGCCCTTGCAGCGCCACTTCCGCTGCTGCCCTTGCAGCCGCCACTGCCGCCGCTGCCCTTGCAGCCGCCACTGCCGCTACTGCCCTTGCAGCTGCCGCTGCAGCTGCTGCCCTTGCAGCGCCACTTCCGCCGCTGCCCTTGCAGCCGCCACTGCCGCCGCTGCCCTTGCAGCCGCCACTGCCGCTACTGCCCTTGCAGCTGCCGCTGCAGCTGCTGCCCTTGTAGCGCCACTGCCGCCGCTGCCGCTACTGCCCTTGCAGCCGCCACTGCTGCCGCTGCCCTTTGCAGCCGCCACTGCCGCCGCTGCCCTTGCAGCGCCACTGCCGCTGTTGCCCTTGCAGCTCCTGCTACTGCCTCTACCCTTGCAGCTGCCGCTGCCGCCGCTGCCCTTTGCAGCCGCCACTGCCGCTGCTGCCTTTGCAGCTGCCGCTGCTGCCGCTGCTGCCGCTGCCCTTACAGCTGCTACTGCCGCCGCTACCCTTGCAGCCACTGCTGCCCTTTGCAGCCGCCTCTGCAGCCGCTGCCCTTGCAGCTGCCGCTGCCGCCGCTGCCCTTACAGCTGCTGCTGCCGCCACTGCCCTTGCAGCTGCTGCTGCCGCCGCTGCCCTTGCAGCTGCTGCTGCCGCCGCTGCCCGTACAGCCGCCTCTGCCGCCGCTGTCCTCGCAGCTGCCGCTGTCGCCGCTGCCCTTACAGCTGCTGCTGCCACCCCTGCTCTTGCAGTTTCTGCTGCCACCGCTGCCCTTACAGCCACCACTGCAGCTGCTCTTGTTGCCCGACAGCCACTGCAGCTGCTGCTGCCACCATTGCCGCGGCGAGCCTGCAGCCGTGCAGACACCTCCGTTAGCCAGCTCGCAGAGGTGCCGCCGTTAGCCAGCTCACCGCTGGCCTGCCGCCATCGCCACCCCGTTGCTAGCTAACAGCCGCCGCTGCCACAGGCTCCTACTGCCGTTACCCAGGGTCCGGTCTTTTTACACCGCACACTGAGTCCCTGCCGGCTGCTGCGTCTGCCGAGGTCACCGCGTCCTGCTCCTGTTGCTCACTAGCCCGCCCGACCCTTCTGTGGCACCACCGCTTAGGTCACCCTGCCCTCTCACGTCTTACGCACATGTCCCAGCACGGTCTAGTCACTGGTCTCCCTGCGTCGCTCCCCACCCTGCCTATGTCTGTCGCACCACTCTGCACCTCCTGCGTCGAGGGCCGACAGCGCGCCGCCCCTCACTCCTCCTCGTTTCCTCCTACCACAGCGCCGCTACAGACACTGTACCCAGTTCCCAGTTCTTTCCCACTAGGTCTGTCGCCCCTCTGGTGCTCGTCCTGTCCCTCCCCGTCATAGTGTCCACTCTATGGTCCCCTGTTCTTGTGCTTCTCTAGTCCCCGTGCTTCCGTTACCTACTCCGTCGTCTCTCCCGTAGTCCCTACCTCCTCTCTTTGGCGCTGCTCACATTGCTCGTCCTACCCTCTCGCGCTTGCTTGCGTCGCTTGTCACTGCCTCTTCTGCTCCTCCTGAGACTGTCTATGTGCTTGTTGCTACTGTCGCTGACTTCGCTGCTAGCCACCACCTTGACTACGCTGCCGCTCTGGTCTCTGGTACTGCCCGTCCTCCGTCCGCCAGGGGTGCACCTGCCCTTGGCAGTGACATGCTAGATGACATGCAGTTTGAGCCGACCTAACTTGCTGCCGCTATTCCCCATCTCTGCTCCATGCTTGTATCCTTAGAGGGTGACCCAGACACTCTCGACATCCCTGTTCTGCGCTCTCACGCTGAGGCGGTGTCGGGGCCCTGGGCAGCCCAGTGGATACAGGCCATGAAGGCTGAGATGGCATCATACTGATCCACAGGCATTTACGTCGATGCAGTTCCCCCCCCTGGGGCGAATGTAGTCGATGGCATGTGGATTCACAGGGTGAAGCACGCACCTGGAGAGCCGCCGGAGTTCAACGCGTGTTACGTGGCTAGAGGCTTCAGTCAGCGTAAGGGTGTGTACTTCTTCCAGACCTTCTCCCTGACCCCGAAGATGACTACTCTTCGGGTCCTTCTCCACATAGCCGTGCAGCATGACTGCAAGCTTCACTCACTTGACTTCTCCACAGCGTTCCTGCAAGGTAGTCTGCATGAGTAGGTCTACCTCCCGCGCCCTCTAGGCATCTCTGGGTCCTTCCCACCTGGGTCCGAGTGGAGCCTGCACCGTCCTGTCTACGGCCTTCGTCAGGCACCCCGTGAGTGGCACGACATGCTTCGCACCACTCTTGCTGAGCTGCATCCAGTTCTTTCTGTCCTCTGCTGACCCCTCTCTCTTTGTTCGCACGGGCTAGACACCATTCAACATCCTAGCGTACGTAGACAATCTTATCTTTGCTACTCCTGACAGAGTCGCACTGGCCTCAGTGAAGGCCGAGTTACTTAGGAGACACACCTGTACCAACTTGGGGGAGCTGAGGCGCTATCTGGGCTTGGAGATCTCTCTCGTACCATGCCGCTCGTACGATCACACTCGCCCAGTCCCATATGGTGCAGCAGCCCACCCTTCTGCCTGCGGATCACACGCTCTCTGCTCCTGTTTCGGCTGAGTTGGTTGAGGCTAGTGGTCCATACACAGAGCTGGTGGGGTGCCTCCTGTACCTGATGTCCTGCGT